ACTTTGGTTCACGATACGATTAGTATCCTATCAATTGTCGGTGAGGATCAACCGGCAGCAGTTGCCCTCATTAATAATTGACACCCTCTTGCTGCAAACCTATTAATTATGCGCGCGCCTAACATCACATAGGATCAGCATACGGTAACTGCACACGTTTCCGCCAAGACGATTTTCTACTATTGAGAACACCATTACAACAGAGTATCCACTCATTTAATTAATTGCACAAATAGTGTATTTACCCAGCCAATTGCAACAATTGTGATAACTTATCGGCTGGTTCCCGATAGGTCACTCTACCATTTTTCATTTTTGCAATGTAAGGTAAGGTGTGCAGTAGCACGTAAGGCACTACACTACCCGCATGGTCCGATGTTCAGAGCTCGGACCAATGCTCCCTCTAAGGATTACATCCTTCAAACTCATTTGTGCAATGCAAAGATCGACAGCTTGCGAAGACCCTTTATTTACTTTCGTTATTACACAATACAATAACAATCAGTGAGTGCTTGATCTAATGGTCTCGATTGCACCGTCTAGTCTTCTAATTTTTTCCCAACTCGCTTCGACATCCGGCTGGTAGAGAATCTGCCAACGACCCCATGGATTGCGGCTGAGCACTTTCAGACGCTGAAAATCCTCAAAGTCAGCAATTGAAACACTTGGAATAATTTTTCTTCTCTTACCTCCTCCTCTTCCTTTTCCATTTGGTCAATGTACTTGAGAATCGCGTCCAACCGCTCCTTTAGAGCGCGGTTACGCTTCACTTTCAATACATTCGCCTTACATAGGTTCTTTCTCCATCTGTCAGCCGATTGCTGTTCTTCGATACGCACACTTATAGAGACAGTCCGCGATAGACACATTATGCACACTGGCAGCTGTAAATATCTCATAATTACCGCCTCATTAACAATTATTTTACCAAAACATACCGTTGTCTCCCGCAACATGACGGTGTGGAATTCTTCTGCGCTTTGATACATTGCCATACCTATTTCGCTACATACTAGCACAACAATACCGACTACACAAATCAATTCTTTACAAGGCATTATGGTTTCATCTATCCATACTTCACGAATACCCACATCTTTCACGAATATTTATTCCAAAGACAACAAATTACTCTCTTGGTGCATGAGGACCGGTCACGACAACTGGGGACGCGGGTGGTGCTCTTGGTTGGTTCTTGGAAGCAACCACCCCCGCGCCAACCCCATGATAAAGGCCGTGCCCTACCTTTAGCGACATCATCATTGCAAGCCAATCGGTGGACCAGCACCTCATCGATCT